CTACTGCTGCTTGAAATTGCTACTGCTACTTGAAACTGACATTGCGAAGTTTTGCGCAGAATTTTAAAAAAAAATTTGAAAAATCTGTGCAGATTTTTTAAATTTTTTTCTTTACCAATTGTTGCCAGGTTCGAAGTTTTGCGCAGATTTTTGGACCTGTAGATCTGTGCAAAACTGCGCCCTCAAAAATTTTCTGATGTTAAAAATATAGTAATTTTAGAAAATATAACATGTATAGCAAAATAATAATCACTTTTATAACTACAAAAAAATATCTTCAAAATAAAAATATTCTCATACTATCTGTAAGAGTAAGAAAACTTGTTATTATTAAAGAAAAAAAGAATAAAAAGAAACATATATTTTCAGATAAATTTAATATATTTTTAAATATAAATTTAATTTATTTTTGAATACAAAGTTTGTGTTATTTTTAAACACAAATTTAGTATCAATTTTAAATACAAATTCAATATTTTTTTTTATATTTTTGAACATGAATTCAGTCTATAAACTGGTTTCTTGAATTGATTTTTTGAACTGAATTCATGAACTGAATTTTAATTAATTTCAGAAATAAAAAGACTGTTAAAATACTAGATCCTTGATTTCTTGAGATAAACTAGTTAAAGTTTAATCTCAGACTCAGTCTGAATTTAGTTCATGTGAATTACTTAATATTACTACTATTTATATTATTTATATTATTCTTTTGTACTTTTATTCAAGAATAAATAATGCATTACTTTTCTAAAAAACAAAATAAAAAATTATTTTTATCAATTTGCTATATTAGAACTTCAAATTACACAAACATATTGCTATAAATTTGATAAAAATATATTTTAAATTTCATAAAGGTTGAATTAGTAGTTATTGCAAAATTAAGTCTTAAAGTTTGATAATTAATATTAATTTTAATCAAATTTTATATAGTAAAATTTATGAGATAAAAATATATATATTAAAATAAATCATAATATCTATTTTGCATTAGATCATAACTCTATATAATAATCCAGTTGGATAAAGCAGTTCTAAAACAGTCCTAATGAGGCTTATATTGAGCATTATTTTTCTAGTACTTCAAAAGAATACTGACTTGTAAGTTGTGATACACTTTTAGTTTGCTGTTTTATGCAAATTTTACTCTTTGCTGAGCGAATATTTACTAGAGTTAATTTGTTAATAATTTATTTGTTTTATCCGTAACAAAATCCAGTTCTAGCAAATCATGAAACATCACGTTATTTGATCCTGGCACTAGTAGCCATTCAAGTTCATTAAGTTGTGAATTTTCTTGATAAATATCAGATTGATTTTCAAATAAATTGTTCAAGCATGCTTAGTATAATTCAATGTATTTATCAGGTGTTCTGTGAATTGGTTTTTCTTCATTAGCTAAACTTATGATAAGATAAAAGCATATTTATTTGGAATACAACCGCTGGCGCTAGTGATAACCGAAAATAAAACACTGAGGCTTAAATATCTGTTTTTGTTGCGTAGAAATTTCTGTATCTCTCAAGAATATATCTGAATATATCGCAATTAGTTTTGAAATTTGAATTTTTAATTTTCGTATGAAAGTTTCGAATAGTCTAAATGTGCAATTTTAAATTTTTTTGTATTGGTGTCCAAAAATCTTCTAATTATTAATGTAATCCGAATACCATCGGCTAATAGTAATCACACGATTATTTTCCTTTTTGTTAAGACATTTTGCCTTATTTTATCTGTATTTGTTTTATCGTCTCTACTTGGCGATTTATGTTGATAAAATTAAGGAAACTGATTCTTATCATTATCCCTAAATAAAATCCAAAATCAGATAAAATAAAGCAAAATATATGGTCCGGTACAAAAATGTAAATACACAATTTTGCTATAAATAAAAAAATTTTTACTTTTATAATTTTAATTTTTTTATCAAATTTAATATTTAGATTATAATTAATATATTTATATAATTTTTTATATATATAAATAAACATAAAAAATTTTATTAACAACTTTTTGAATTGATTATTTTGATTTTTTTATTTAATCATTTTTTATTAATTTCTTAACAACTAGTGATTTAATTTGTTAAAATTTAAAATATATATTTACCATATGTACATTAATACTTGCTTAGTACAAACTTATAAAATTGCATATTCATAGAAAAAAATATTAAAAATCTATTTTTTTTAAAAAAATCCAAAAAGTTTTATCTTATTAAAAAATAATAAAAGAATAAAAACAGTACTAATAGTTAGATTAAAACATACTTTAAATAATGTAAAAAAAATTATAAATTTTAATTAATAAATTTTATAATTATAAGTAAAAAAGTTTTATTTTTTCCTTTTTGGTGTATCTACATTTTTGCACCAGCCCATACATAATAATAGTATTTACTCGGAACTTTTATTAATTAACAAAAGGAAGTGTGTGATTGTCTTTATCCGATGGGGTCGCATCAACATATCGATATCAATCGATATCGATATGTAAACAATCTTACCAAATCTTGATACATTATGTTTGCATTATAACTTCTTAACGATCAATATTATTATTCAAGAGGGGAATAAAATAACTAATTAATGAAAGTGACTTTGGAAACAGAAAATCGAAATTAATCAAGTAACTCGATAAAGTGCTGTATATGTCAATAAATTAACAAGAATCGTAAAAGGACGCGATGTAGTATTAATATTTTCACTGATATTACATACTATTGGAGGGAACCTTTTAACAATTAAACTTTTGTTCCAAATCCTCTGAACCTTTTTTTAAAAAATAATGATAATGATTCAGCAACGCATTATTCAGCAATAACATATTCAAAAAATAATAATAATACTAATTTCCCCCCCATCAACTTTGCCATTTCCGGATCCAATCCTTCACCCTCATTACCATCATTGTCTGAGCAGCATTTTTTTCTTTAGATTTCTTTGCCCTTTTCGTTTCTGTTTCTCCTCTTCTTCTTGCTGACGCAACGCATTTGTTCGACACTCGCCTCGAAATCATATTCTTGTGGTTTCTCTTTTTGTTTTTTAGACGAGACGAGCCAGTCGTTTTGTACTTGATCCAATGTATTACGCTCTACTTTCATAGTTCGGTCTAGTGCTCTTTGATCTTTATGAAAAGGGGATAAAAAATTAAGTATTGTCATCTACCAATTACAAGAACATTATAAACGAAAATACACATAAAATAAGCTCACATGCGTGGAACAAATAAGCCCGTTTTTCCATTAATGTGATCCAAATAATCGACACTATCCTTCACCACACAATCGCACACTTTACAATAATATCCTGGTATTTTCGAGGCAATACTAGTGCTTTGAACCAACTGGGTCCTATTCAAGTTAGCATCGAGCACAACTTTATCTGTGCGCGCCGTAAGCAAATCACGAGGTCCTTCTTCATCCAAACATCGTCAGCTGGTTTAGAATTTTAGACCTTTACGTTTTTCGATCTTCCTCCTCTTTTAGCTGTTGTTCACGACGAGCACGATCTCGTGCACACTGTTCGTATTCTTGTTTGTCCCAGGTACGGCGAAAGCTTGTGTCATGCTGTTGTTGAAAGTGATAAAGGTTAGAAGAACGGAAAAGAGATGAAAACGAAAAAAGGTAATTTAAATGATGGTTGCCGACTGTGTAGCATAGACTCCTTTCTTTTGCGACATTGGTATAATTTCTAGTGCTCTGCGTTTGGAATAACTTCATCGTTTTCATCATTATATCTAAATATTTTTCTATATCTAGATTATTTCTGATTTTCCGATATTGTGTAGTCTGAATATTCAGAACTAAGCCGATTATCTAATTGGTTCTGAGAGTGTGCCAAAATGACAAATGTTCAGTACTAAATGGGCTATAGATGATATGGTACATAACATCTAAACTTATGCATTGCAGAACTCATTTCTTGACAACAAGTACATATACTACTAATTCCGTTCTCGACAATCGGAACATTTACTACAATCATGGGTATTATGAACTGAACATTCGTTGCAGTACTTACTGTTATAATATTGACAACGAGTGCATTTACTACAATCATGAACTTATTGTAGTAATTCCGTATCCGATAAAAAACACTCACTACAATGATTTGTAAAATCATTGTTTTATTTAAACCTTGAAATGATGGGTAAATAAACGTGGAAGTTAATTTCTGCGCCAAGTACTGATTGTGTGATTAGAACTTCTATTTTATCGTTATGTTAAAAAAGCACTTATGTAGTGTAAATGTGCTCCAATGATGACAAATTTTCTCGATACATAATAATTATCCTTATATCAAGAACAAGATTATTGCCATCAGGAATTTTTTAGTGCAACTTGCGGCGAACCAATTAGAAATTCAATATCGAGTTACGTGATTTTTTTTAAATGGTAAGTACATTAATATAACGATAATGATAATAATGAATAATTTAGATTTCTCATTTTTTTCCATTATAATTATTGCTTTCGCTTTGTCTTATTTTCTGTTGAAGGAGGAATTGTACTTGTTGACTCTAAACGACGTTTTCAGGTTGGGGAAGGATGAAGATATTGGTGAATTATAATTTGTTTTCTATCGTGATGCTAACAAATTAAGAAATTATATTTTTTTTATCCCTTTAATGTGATTCTAATTTTAACGTAACTTTGCATTTACGTATATTTTCTCCAGATCCCACCTTTTGTCTTTTAATATTATTTTCTCTTAATTAAATCTTTCCCCTTTTATTTGATTCTTCCGACACGTATTCAATAGGACGTTTTATGCTCCTTGAAATCTAGTGTTTGTTAAGAAAAATATTTAAATGTCGAGACTCTGTCGTTGTTAACAAAAAAACTTACGTTGCGTTGGATATTCTTTCGGGCATCTTTTCCATCATTCTTAACATCAATATCAATATCAAACTCGCGTGCTAGAAATATAAAATAAAATATAAATAAATGAAATGTACATGTACATGTACATGTATAATCAAATCGTATTACTAATAAATTTTACCTTCATTGTTTCGTTTTGAATATCTATATCATATTCAGTAGTCACATATTCTAGAGTTGTATGGTGCACAACACCAAAAGTCATCAAACATTTGTATTTTATAAAATGGATAAACATCTTTACTAAGAAGTAAATACCAAATTTGATCCGTGAATATGCTCAGAAAGGGGCTATTCTATCATATTCACGGATTAAATTTTGTATTTAGTTCTTAGTAAAGATGTTTATCCATTTTATAAAATACAAACGTTTGATGACTTTAGATGTTATGCACCATATGCAAATAAATATTTTAATAGAAGTAATATAGCAAGCGATTTTACCTTCGCTCGGAACAAACAAACTGATACTTGTCAATCGATATGAATTTTAATTAATGTGAAACCATAATATCGATATGATTTATATTTAGAAATAGAAAGTACCTGTGTTAGTTTGAGTTGAAATTAATTTTGTAGTAAATATTCGACTGGTGTAAACTGCCTTGGAGTGGATTGCTTGTTTTTTGTTCATATTTGTAGTAATGCTCTTTATTAATTTCATCTTCTTATCATGTAATTTCTGCTTTTCCAGTTTGAGACACTCAATAATTTCTTCATTTGTCTTAAGAGATTCTAAAGAACTGTAATACTGAAAATGCAAAACATTCAACTCTGTGTTATATCCAAATAAGATAGAGTTAATAAAGTGGTGAAGTTCCTTAGCAGTGATCTGTTTTCTGGAATAGGATTCCAACATTTTTCAATAATAAACTTGAACATTATTTGGTATCGTGGGTCGTACTCCGTTATAGATGTCTGATACGAAATCTATACCATGACTTCGTTCAGCTGTGAAAACCTCGTACGCAATCATCCCAAAACATAAATATCTGCAGCTTCAGTGTATGATTTTCCATTTAGTACCTCTGGGAAGTACTCCACAAATTTTTTGAGCAGAATTTTCTATATCGATATATGCTGGTTTGCTAAGTCCAATATCAGCAACTTGAGCTGTATTGTGTAATAACAATATATTTCCAGGGCGAAAGTCACGATGCACAAATTCCTTTCCATGAATTTAATTCAACCCTTGAGTAATAATATTCATTAAGTATCCTAATTTTTGCTTCCAAGTCATTACTTCGTAGTTGTTGGAATTCATATATTTGCGTAGATCGCCATCTTTTGCATAATCCATCACTATCGAGTATTCATTTTTAGCTGGGTTTTTAGTTATTCCATAATATCTAATATAACTAAGAACAGTCTGAATCTAATTTTGAAAAAGGTAATTAGATTGAAAAACAAAAAAGCAATGTGTTTACACTTAAAAAAGGGTTTGCTTTGGATTGTGTGATGATTTCAACCCAACTTCTTTGTATTCATTACTTCGTTTAAATCTATTCTCTACATGATCCCACTTGTTGTAATCGTGCAAAGATGCTTTATAAATTGATCCGAAACCTCCTTTTGCAAGATATTCAACATTGGTAAATCTTTCAAAAGGGATCCATTCAAATACATCATCAATCTTCTTGCATTCATTTATTAAACTGTCGATATCTTTATTTTCGCTAGTCATATAAATTCGTTTGTGATATAGACTACATCCATAACAGTCCCCATTTGTTTGACATTTGGTACATTTACTACAATCATGAGCGTGAGCATTGAACTAAACACTCATCGCAGTAACCCCGTTGACAACCGTAACAGTTCTTATTACAATAATGAATATTGTGAACTGAACACGCTTTGCAGCAGTAATTGTTTTGACAACCGTAACATATTCGATGAGTTGAATAGTGAGTGGAAATGGTTACACCGTAAAACCGTTTTGGGCGATCCTCCTAATTCGGAAGGATCAGTTTGGGTCGCGTAGTAGGTCTAATATTTTCTTTTTTTGAATAAGTACCCCATAACGTTCCGCATATTCTCTTTTTATTTTCCTTTTTTTTTATTTTAATCGCGGTTTTCTCTTTTTCTTTCCCAAACATTCCGTCTGATATTCTCTTGATCACAGTTTTCCTCGCGGATCTCTTGTTAAAATTTTTTTATTCCATACTATTTTGTTAATTAAATCACGGTTTCCTCTATTAAAAATTTTCGTTAATTTGTCTTGCATCTTTTCTCTTATGATTATGATCTCTATCTTAGACAAAACTCTTGATCATATTTACATACTCAAACAATGCTTTTTTTTTATTTTCCTTTCTGAGTCGTATTATTTTTTTTATCTTAATCATATGAAGAACAAATAATAAATAACTCACAAGAAGCAAGCGGTGTAGACGATACCCGAAATAACCGCTACAATAATGATAATAGTGGACTTCTCTATGGTTTAGATGAAGTAGAAGAGTAATTATTCTAAAATTAATAATTTTTTGTTAATAGTTTGGATTAAAGATGGTTCCGAAATGACATTATCTAATTAAATAATTTGCTGAAATTAATTTGCTGAAATTAAATCTGAAATTATTTTCATATATTTATAGGAATAATATTATATGTAAACAAAAAAATGTATATAAGAAAGATCTACGGGCCTCAATAAAATATGTTGCGTACAGTTATTCTCCAAGTAAAATAAGACTTGTAAAATTCCCCTCGTAATAATTGATTGAATTTGCTGACGGTTAGGACCTTAATCCAGAAAAGGCATCGTTAGAAGATCGACGACGGTAATCGAACTTGGTAAAGAAACACGAAATAATTGAAAACCAAATTAGGCTTAGAAATTATTAAACAAAGGGAACATCTTGATATACACTTACCCCCAAGTCCAACGTCAAATACGATATCCGTAGATATCGGCACAGGCAACACCAATTGTCGTCCAAAATTCTTGCTCTCCCAAAAACCGCCGTTTATAGGAAAATCCTTCCTTTTTAATAGAAACACACATAACAGTGCGCCCACAAGATGCATGAAGAGTTAATCCTTGAACGAGTTTCTTGGCTACGTTTAACTTGTTATTACCGTTACTAGTCAAGTTGTAAAAATATTTTATATTCAACTTCCGCTATAACAGTCATTTATTTTCGTGTATGGAACTCTAATTTAAAAGTCGTCTAATAAATTTCTATTATACATGTAATTACTATTCTACCTTTAATACCATAAAATACCGTGCAAAATACCCGGGGGTACCAATCAAGAATCTCAAGAACTAATGCAAGAATCGGTCTTAAGTGACTGAGTAAATATGTATAAAACATGATTTCATACATCTTATCATTATTGGTCAAAAAGCCAATTTTGAGAAACCTACAGGGTACATAATATGGGATATACATGTGTTATCGAGGGGGTATTTTGCACGGTATTTTACGGTATCAAGAATTTTCAACTACGAAATATTTGATAACTAAAGACTTGCAACTTGACGCTTTACTGGTTGTTTCTTCTAAATATGATAAATAGCTCATTGGTAATTTCTTATTCGTTTCTTAAAACTACAGTTAAAGCTTGGTTTTTACTATCGATCGCTATCAATCACTTTTTTTATCGGAAAATTTCACTAAAATCGAAAACTTTTAATGTGTATTCTTGACATTGTGGTTGATGTCGTTGATTTAATTTCGTCAATGCGATTTACTAAATTGAGTTACGCATCAGTATCGGTATTACTCATTTACCTGGTTTCCTTGTTCTAAAAGCAAACGAACAGTATTTTAGATTTTCAAATTTGTGCTGTTTAACATAAGATAGCTTGACGCTAACGCTAACACTAGCGCTAGCACTAGCGTTAAAGTTAAAAATATAAATATAATAGTAAAGAATCATAACTATAACTAGTTCGACAAACAATCTTGAATTTCATTATAGAAAAATGTAATTGACAATTAAATCTTTCTCATAGGTTTAGCTTCGTTTTTATATTCGTTTAATTGTGCAAAAAGTTTCTCCGCTTGTCTATAAACCGGCCCATCTTTCGGCAAACTTTTTGATGCAAAAATCTTTTTCAAATAATCTTCACTCTTTTTTAAATCAATTATTTCATCATGGTCCCCTTCCATATAAATTTCAGCTAATATACAATCAGCCTCATATAGTCGACGACTGCTTGCTAATCTCAAATAGAAAATCGCTTTTTTCGGCTGATATGTTTGTGGTTCAAGCAATTTTTTTGCTAAATAAGCCTGTGCTTTTAGAATATATTCATTTATTTCATTTTTTTTGGATTGTCGTTCTTTTGCATCGGCTGCTTGTTGTAATAATGCAAGACCGCGTTCTTCGTCGCGGAGTTTATCAACTTTGCATAAATATTTTCCGGCCAAAAAAGCGCCACGGGGATCTCCTTTTTCGGCATATTTTTCGAAATAAGGTAATGCCTCTGCATACTTTCCCTCATTATGCATTTTTAATATTTCTTCAAAGTTTGGAAGTGTTGCAGATTGCGAATTATTTATGCTTCCAGAAGGAGAATCATCTGACGGTTCAGGTGTAAGAAGTCTTTGATAATGCGGAGTCGACGGAACAGTAAGACAATTCTTTCTTTGTGAATTTTCTTCAAGCGATCGACAATTTATGTAAAAGTTTTCGGCAATGACTTCAATTTTCGGTCTGTGAGCCCATTTATCGTTCCATGCTTCTTTTATAAAGTTTTGGAATGTTGGGGGAGTGTCGACTGGGATTGATGGACGTGTCCCTGCAATTATCGCATTTTCTACTTCATCATCTAGGATTTCGGAAAACGGCTTTTTACCATTTGCAGCTATTTCCCAAAGAGTCATTCCGAAACTAGAGTATAAATATTTAATTATGTCGATATAATGAAATATAGAACATTAACACCAGATATTGTCAAAAAATACCTATATACGTCCATTTGTTTATTAAAAGGATGCTCATATTTTATGTCAATTATTTTTTTATCTCTCTCATTTTCGTAAGGTTTCATGTCAAGTTTTCTCTTTTCGACCTCGGATCGAATTTTTTCTGGAGCTTTCCACCTTAATTTATATTGATACATAAATGAATAACAAATACATATTGCTATCATAATTTAATAAAGACAAACTTACTCAAGGCCATCTCTCAATCCAGGAATAGTAGTTGTAGTTTGGTCTGTAAATCTACTCGTATCAAAATTTGAGAGTTTTGCAGTCAGGTGTTCATCCAATAATACGTTTTTACTAAATAGCGATAGGAAATATAGGTATTAAAATTATTAACATTGAGACTAGAATCAATTGATTACTTCTTACGCTCTGATATTATGATGGAGTACGTTTGCACCGTGGCAAAAACTATTGATTTGAGACGAATAAAATGATAATTAAAGAAAAATAAAATAATACGATCATTAATAGGAGATAATAAGAAAAACAATATTTACTTTATTGCATTTGCGATTTCTGATGCGATTCGCCACTTGTTGTTCCAAGGAATATTTGGCGTCTTTTGCAAGTAATCACAAAGATTACCATTTTCAACCCATTCGGTGGCCATATATAAACAATTAGAGTCAATATAGATGCCATGACTACGAATCACGTACATAGCGATAACGCACAATATAAATTAAAAAACATATGTCGAAATCATTATACTTGCTTGCAAGCAATAATCAATAAAACTTACAATTTTTCGATATTCTTACAATCAGATAATAATTTTCGAATGACCTGTTCATTTTCTAATTTTTTTCTCTTGATTTTATCAAGCCTAGAATATTCATCTACCAATCTTCTCACAGCAATCGGTTGACTACGAAACATTTTCTTTACTAACGATTTTCTTCCGTCTCCGACCTCTTCTTCTAACGGGTCATTGGTAATTAAATTGAGATCAATTCTCGTTTCCCTTACATCTGCTGGACGAGGGTTAACTCCTTTAACGATATTTGTAAGTTCTGATAGTACTTCTGACTGTTTCGATATTTCATTATATATTCGTACGTCCACTTCTAAATGGAATGCGTCGATTGCTTGTGTTAATGCATCCGTAAATTGTTTAAACAATTGTTCATCCTATAATATATAAAGTTACTTATCGTCTGAGAATTCATTTAATTAAACCGCTGGAAACAATATTACCTTATTAGCATTTATAAATCTCAATAGTTCAATTCTATATCGTTGACTAAACTTTCCAGGTTTTCCCAGTTGTTTGATATGATTTTCTATTTTTTTCAGGATATCAATATACTTCTTGTAAGCTTCTTGAAAACTGTCATTTGGTGGTTTATAATTTTCTAAAATTTCTTGGCTTATTCGAACTCGCTCAACTAGTTCCTTGCAAGTTTCTCGATTATTTTGAAGTGTTTCTGCTTGCTTGACAATTGATTGGACGATTAATGCAGCGGCTTCTAGACCAGGAACGAATTTTGCGCCGGCAATTGAAATCTTTATGACATTTTTGACAGAATCACGATATGGGGAAGACGATGACATTATCAACGTAATGATTTTTGAGGTAACGGTAAGATATTAACAAATAACGAGATATATCACAGATTTATTTTTTATCGTTATCCTATTTATACATTCATGTATGTTACTAGATACAAATCCAGTTTGACCAACTTTAGATCGTTATAGGAATTGAAATTCTATTTTTGGATTGTACATGGATCGATACCGATACGTACATACTGTTACAGGAGCACAAATTATACCCTCGAAATGTACATGGAGTCCGAAAATTTTATGTTCCCCCACCCCATGAAATAAATAAGAAATCCTTAGGAGCGTGTCACTAGATGTTCATCGTCTGACTACGTCATCATAATTAATACACGTATGTGTAACGATAATGATTTTATTTCTTTTATCATAAACTTTCACTTTCTTTTGCTAATTTCTAAAAAAAATAATAGAATAAAAAAAAAATGCCAAAATCTCACTCCCGATTTGTTTCGTCAACTAAAGGAGTGATTTTAGAACTCCAGCAAGCATCAGGAAATATAAATAAATCTAAGAATACATGGATGGCCTATTTATTAACTGTTATCATTATGAATTATTTGATAGCGATATTTAAGGTTGGAAAGCAAATTTTGAATTGAATGTATAATCATTGTAATTAAATATAATCTAAAATCACTTGTCTATATTTGAATTTGAGAACTCAAGATTGGCATAAGTAAAATATCTAATAAAAAATTTGATACTCGGATTATTCTGCTTTTTATATGATATAAACTTTCTCTTGATTCATATTTATCTAGAATTTGTCTATTATTTAAAAATTCATTAGCCAACTAGTTTTAGCATTCATAATTTCAACACGTGTGTAAATTATCATTATAAATTATTATACTGAATAATTCAATAGTACACAGTCAATGTCGAATCTATATAACGGATTTGGTCAATAACGGACTATTTTTCGGAACCAGCTATAAATAACATTATATAAATTTTGTCTGTTATAGCGGATCCGTCGATTTACCGGACAGCATGGCAGGAACGGAGGGTCCGTTATATCGACGTTGACTATGTAATAGTAATAACGATAAACTAATAAAAATTATTAGAAAAAAAGTAAATTGATTCCCTTGAATTAATACACGTAACGACAAAACTAAAGATTTTTTATGCAATACATTTGATTGCTTATATATTATCGTTATTGTCATTGCATACATTAACTCATACTATTCTAATAACTATACAGATGCTAAATAAATGAGTTCGAATAACATAAAAATAAATATAAAAACATAATTCTCACTATTCTGGTGATAACGATAAATTTCTTTAGAAATGTATGCTAAAACAATAAAAATTGTAAGAGTTTTATCAAACAATCATAATTTGCCTATTTGTATAATTACATGAAATAAAACCCTAGCCACGGCAAAAAAAGTTACGGGTCATGTAATCTGAAATGGGTCCATTAAAGTATCCGATTAACACTAGATGTCAAGTATTAGGGTTGGGGTTAGGGTTATGTATAAAATTGTCTTCCCGACATTTTTTGATAGTGCGCCAAGCTAGATTTAGATATCTGTTAACCCTAACTTTAATCTTTAACAATAACTTCTGTTACCGTAGAATTTTTCCGCACATACTCAAATATCCCATGACCCGTAACTTTTTTTTCGCCATGGCTAGGGTATCCATGCATTGTACTAAGTTGATCAAAATAAAAGGATCAATCTAATTGTAACTACTTCAAACCCTAATCCTAACTCAGATCCTAATTAACCAATCAAAATGCGGTTGTTTCAAATAACAGTTGTTACAAATACATTTATTCAAAATAAAATATATCATAAACCTCTTATTGCTAAATGAACGAGATTTGTGAAGTTACACCATCAAAAAACTGTCGGGATCTTAAACCATTCGGGATCTTGACTGTCGGGAAACAGTCGCCACGTTAACGGGACAAAAATTGATCGACCACTCAAGAAAATTGTATAACTTTGAAGTTTCTTTTATATTATAATGCTTTTAGTGGGAAAAAATAAATAAATAACAAATAAAAAACGAACGAGTATAATCTTTTTATTTAGTCAACGAACGAATTAGTTTATAGTTGAAAGAGTTGTCATATAGATAAAGGTCTCTTTGTTACTTTTTTCTCAAGAAATTTATGGTGCATAACATCTAAAGTCATCAAACGTTTGTGTTTTATAAAATGTATAAACATCTTTACTAAGAAGTAAATATAAAATTTAATCCGTGAATATGCTCAGAAAGGGCCTATTCTATCATATTCACGGATTAAATTTTGCATTTACATTAAAACAAACATTTCACCTGACCGATATGGTTAGCTCGAGAATAAAGTTTCCAATTTCTGATTGGCTGATAGATGCATTATGTCGCATACGTATTATCATTACCGTTACATGTATCTCGTAATAAACATGGAAAACACAGTTGAAGTTAGATGATACTCGAGTCGTCACTAAGCTTCCTACAGCAGCAAATCTTACAGAAATACGTAAAATACTTTCGGGAAAATCAGAACTAATAATGGGACGTAAAGCTTATTTTTGTCAATCTATTAAAGATTCTCCAATAATTCCACATGACGAGGAAAAAAAATATTTTTTAGAAAATGTTATCGACTCTGTCAAAAGATTGAAACTAAGGGTGAAATCGAACCAAATGGGCAGACATTATCGAAAAGAATTCGCTTAAATATGGACTATTTTTTACGAAGAATGGATCGAAATCTGCAGAGAAAAAAGCGTTTGAAATTCTACAATATCCGAAGTCTACGTTGCAAATACCAATTACTTCGGAGCAAGAATTAAATTGTAGAACGGAAATAGACGATATTCGTGCAAAAAATTTATTTGTTACAACAAGTCTAGATGTAAACTTGCCATAGTAAGAGTATAAATTCATTCAAGGTTTAAATAATAATTACTTTTTGTTTATTTTCAGTACACTAATTTCTGCGATGCTTGGTGGTTCTTACCAGTCGAATTCTGTCAATCATAACAATAACGTAAACATAAAAACATACCAGAAATCAACAAGAATAAAAGCAATATTCTCAATGTCCGAATCAGAAATTAAACCAACTAAAGAATTTGTTTCAGCAGTAGATGTAGCGGTAGCACGTGTATCAACAAATCGTCGTGAATCCCTAGAGCAAGTCACTAGAGATTTCGGAAAATTTTGGTGTAAAAAATTGGCTTGGAAAACTATTTTCATGAACAAGGAATGAGTGGTATGTAAAACTATATTTATCAAAGTATCATATGATTTATTCTTTATATATTATTTGTAGGATGGATCATGTCTTTAGATGATTATAAAACATGGGAGGTAGTCACCTATTCTGATATTCATTCAATATTTGATATACTTGATGAAGAAAGAAGGACAAAAGAAGCAACGGCTTTGGGAAAACGAATTATTAATTCTCAAGTTGAAAAATTATACTTTAGAATGGATATTTCTAAACCGTATCCACATATATACAAAATTCCGAAAAAATATGATTTATCGAATTGCCAAATTTTTGTTACAGAAATGAAAGATGACAACTCGAATACGATATTTGCTTCTCGAGTTCATTATATCAACGATAAAGAATCACCAGTAATTTTATTACATAAAAAATTAAATATCAAAAATTTTCAATAAGGTTATGCATTTCAAAATATCTCAAGAATTATGTTTCGAATAAAGTAATTCTTTATAGAAGAATTTCCCCCACAAAAAGTAACGCTCGATTTGCACTTAACGTTAACACAAAACTTCAAATATATGTGATTTATTGTACTTTTTCACTTTATACATTAAATTTTTTTATATTTAATTAATACTTTTTCGGCTCTCCATCTGCCTTGAGTTGATAACTTCCCTAAATAGAGACATCGAATTTTGACCACTCCTCCTTTAGAGCGGCTTTGCACTCATCCACAGTTCTTGGGAAACTTTGTACTTCTAGATATTGTCCTTTAATAGCTTCCAAATGTTTTCTATGGTGTTAACGCCGGGAGAATTCGCTGGCTAATCCATAGTTTTGTCTCGAAACATTCTGTAACTTTATTTGCGGTATGAATTGTTGTATTATCCTTCTGAACACCACTTTTTCCCTAGTAGTATACGTGCTGTTTATGAAAGATGGATCTCTATGATTTCAAGATCTTTTTTCTTTATATTCATCACAAAATACTAACGTTTCTCTTATAAAACAGCCACAAACCATTACTGAGCGTCGACCACTTTTGAAAGTGGGTGCCAGACACTTAACGTTAAACCTCTCTCCCGTATGCCGCCATACACTTTATCCGACAAAATTATCTTTCAGCATCGTAGGCGGTTTTGTTCTTATTTTTTTTCACACCAATTAACACGCGCAGTTGCATTACTTTCTGAAATATGAGATCGAATCCCAGAATCATGCAGCAGTTGACAAACTGCATTGGAGTCCTAAATCGTCCACAATTACGTGTAGTGACTTACGTCGCATCTTGGTAGCTTCTCATAGAAGTGCATTTTGTTCTTTGTTGTTGAAGACTTGTGGTCTTTCAGACCATGGTAGATTTTCAATTTTTTCGGTTCTCTGGTACTTAGAAATAAATCGTCGTATTGTGATGGATCACGCTCCATTTTCTTGCAATTTGTTCAGCATTCATATTTTCCATATAAGCCAGTATTTTTCCTTATTTGCGTCAGTCAACTGGGTTCGGGTCCATTTACTAATTTTCTCCCAGGTTTCTGATTGGTTGAGGATATTAAAGGTTAATTTTATCGTTAGGGTTAGGGTTAGAGCTGGAGTAAATGTTACATATAAATTGTCTTCCCGACATTTTTTATAGTGCTTCGAGCCAGGTTTACCCATTCGTTTTCCGTATTTTTCACTTTTTAATTTTCTTGAACCGGATTTGTTTTGCCAGGTTGATAAAAAATTTATGCATTTTTATTGTTGATTTATAAAACCTGGGGGAAAATTAGGAAATGCGGTTCGGGTGGGTGGCATATTTAAACACAATAATAATTTGTAGAAGAATTGGCATTGGCAAACATCACGTGTAATTTATTGTTACTGTTACACATGCGGAGGTGTACAAAATCGTTTATGTATCGGTATTACATGTATGTTCCTGTGTATCAATTAACAATACGTATTTAAACAGTTTTTTGACGTAATTATATCAAAAATATTGATATCGACCACAACCACAATGTCAAATGTGAATGCAAAAAGCCCAACATCTTCATTTATCGGAAATAAATTGATAGAATCCACAATAAAAGAAAATCAAATAAATTTTTTTGATTTTAGTGAATTTTCCAATAAAAGAGTCATTGGATATGGAGCATTTGGAGAAGTTTATAGAGAAGAAGTGAAAAACGAAGATTTGACTGTAGCTTTAAAGAGTTTTTATCTAAGTGACGAGAGTCGTGCTGAAGAAACAAATAAGAAACTTATCAAAGAGGTATCTATCATATCTAGAAGAATAAACTAAAGACTTATAAACTCACGCATTTTATCAATATTTTTTGGTTGAAAATCCTTATTAATCTTAACCTTATCAAAAACGTAATTTCCAACTTAACTGGGAATGATAAGTTAAATTTAGCCAAACGATTCGCGTCAGGATTAAGAAATATACACAACGCAGACATAGTTCATCGTGATTTGGTAAGGCGTAGCATATAATAATAAATTTATTAAATATTATACTAAGTATAAAATTTTTAATTGTCAGAATCATAATAATATTCTCGTTCACAAAGGAAAAATTAAAATCGTGGATTTAGGCTATTTAAAATTTTTGAACGAAAATTCAAATTCAAAAGCTAATTGCGGAGCATTAATTTATATTGATCCCGCATTCTTGGAAGATACAGAAAATTTTCTATCGAACAAAAAATCAGATATTTACAGCCTCGGCTGTATTCCAAATCAGTACGAATTTGCATCAAGTTTATTTAATGAGAAAGAAAAACCAATTCACAGAACTCCTGATAAATACATCGAGTTATACCAAGCATGTGATAATTTACCTGAGCATCGACCTGATATGTATGAAAATAAAATCAACTGGCCACCAGAATTGATTTTTCAAGATTTGCCAGATTTTGATATGGCCACCGAAATGAAAACAATGGATAACAAACATCGCGAAATTATTGACGGATTAATAACTCTATTAAATAATTTACTCAGCAAAGAGGAAAAGATCGATAAAATAGGTGCCGAATTGCAATCGTATTGCAACTTGTACAGTCTGAATTCTTTTGAAATACAGACCTATTCGAAAAATAATGCTCAATGTAAGCTACTTCTAGGGTTTCTTTATGAAACTGGATTCATAGTTGAAAAGAATGTTGCATCAGCATTGAATATTTATGTAGAGTTATCAAGCGATAACTCTTTAGCTCAACGCTTTCTAGGATATGCCTATCGAGAGGGAATCGGAACACAAAAAGATGAGAAAAAAGCATTTGAGTGGTATTTGAAATCAGCGGAGGGTGGAAATGCAGGAGGACAACGTAATCTTGGCTGGTTATATGAAGAAGGGATTGGAACACAGAAAAATGAGAAAACAGCATCCGAGTGGTATTTGAAATCAGCAAAAGGTGGAGATTATATAGGTAAAAATAATCTTGGTTGGAATTATCAACATGGCATTGGTGTACAAAAAGATAAGAAAAAAGCATTTGAGTGGTATTTGAAATCAGCAGAAGGTGGATATGCAAGAGGACAATGTAATCTTGGTTGGTGTTACGATGAAGGAATCGGAACACAAAAAAATGAGAAAAAAGCATTTGAATGGTATTTGAAATCCGCGGAGGGTGGATATGCAGGAGGACAATGTAATCTTGGTTGGTGTTACGATGAAGGATTCGGAACACAAAAAAATGAGAAAAAGGCATCCGAGTGGTATTTGAAATCAGCAGAGGATGGAAGTGCTATGGGTCAAAACAATATTGGTTGGAATTATCAATATGGCATTGGCGTACAAAAAGATGAGAAAAAAGCATTTGAATGGTATTTGAAAGCAGCAGAGGGTGGAAATTCTATGGGTCAAAACAATCTTGGTTGGTGTTATAGAAACGGTATAGGAACACAAAAAAATGAGATAAAAGCATTCAAATGGTATTTGAAAGCAGCAGAGGCTAGAGATGCAGATTCAGAAGATGGAGACGCAGAGGGACAATGTAACCTTGGCATATGTTATGAAGAAGGAATTGGTACTTTTAAAGATATTAGTAAAGCTATAAAATGGTATAAAACTGCAGCTAATAATGGTAGTAGTAACGCAAATAATAGAATATATGTAATTTTTGATGCTTGGATTTGATTTCCTTTTAAGTTATAAAATATTTTTTATATTTTCCTATTGAAATAATTAGAGTAACTCTCAACTGAGACTATTAAATTTAACTTTAGTTTATATATGTCCTTTATTTAATTCTCGTTATGTATTAGAATTATACCGATACGATTGATGCAAAATAAACTAAATGTTAATCTCAAAATAAATGATAATTACTATTCTTATCCTAGAACTTCACATTATTGTTTTGCAAACAAAAAGCTGTAAAATTCAATCGTGAGACCGTATGGAGGTTTCGGCAAAATGACTGGCGTAATGCTAGGGAAATTTCGCAAAAAACCGGTATTCCACTTCGCTCTTTTCGTAAAAATGGACAAACTCCGGCTGTGGTCGTCCATAAAATTTTGCCTGCTATGCGCCACCACATCGGTCAAATCGTAAGTTCAAATCATTTCCTTACGGCGGCTGAAATCAAAGCGCAGCTCGAAGAAACACACCCAGGATTCGAAGTGGGTGTGCAAACAGTCCGTGACGAGCTTTCTAGGCTCCTCTTCTCACCCTCAAGCCAAAGAAGACCGATTCCAATGGCAGGCAATCATCTGGCACAAGGTTGTATTTTCTGACGAAACAACCCTGCAATTATCCCGAAACACTTGCCTGGCGTGGTTGCATGAAAAAACTGTTGCACCAACGGTAAAACACCCGTTCAAACTCCATTGGGAACGATTTGTGCACGTGGCAAATTTTGGATCTGCACATCATGGATCGACCGCGCAAAATTCTTAGAATGATCTCGAAGCTCGGAGTTCTTCCGTGGCCGTCATACAGCCCCGATCGAAAGAATCTGGTCATTGCTTAAACGGAATGTTGAAAAAAGATAAAAAAAAATTGTCGCTCAAAAAATCGGTGTTACAGGAGGCTTTTATCACGTTAATGGAAAATGAGTGGATAATCTTCCCGAGGCACTGATCTTTAGCTGTATGCATTTACTTATTAAAAAGAATATTTTGCTATTTACATGTACACACAACAATAACAAAAGTCTTCTTTTTTATGCGTTCTGCATGCATGTTGTTGGACATACGTAGCATTTGCATAAATCGATACAAATAAACAGAAAAATAAATCATCGTTTTTCAATAGTGTATGTCCGAAAAATTTCAATGGTAATAGAGATTATTGTTAAAGGTCAATTTAAAGGTTAGGATTAGGGTTAGTGCTAGAGCTGGAGCCAAGCCTATATGTAAAATTGCCTTCTGACACTTTTTTTAGTGTACAAGCATCTGTTTCCCATATTTTTTCATTTTCTTGCGTCAGAGGGCTGATCAAAAAATTTACGCATTTTTATTGGTTTATGTCACCATCAACACGTGGCCGACAATTATTTTTTGCCATGGCTAGGGTACTAGTTTTTTCAAATAAAACACTGCCAGAATCACTAATAAACTCATAAACTCAAAAATGCATGATTGCAGTGATTGTTATCGTTGTCGAAATAGATACTACTGCGATAGTGTTCAGTTCACAATACTCGTAATTGTAGTGATTGCTATCGTTGTCAAGCAAATGAGTTCTGCGACAATTGTTTTAAATATCACCGACAAATTTATAAAGCTGAATGGTTTAGCAGAAATAAAGATATCAGCAATCTAATAAATGAATGCGACAGAATTTCTGATGTCCCAAAGATGTGGGAAAAAGGCATTTGAAATGGTCTTATGGGGAGGTAACGTACGACAGAATATACCAACCGAAAAATGAGTATGGAAACCTCCAAGTTACTATTGTACATAAATCAAATGTTAGGAAAATCTTTGACGTGAACCAATACAAACTATCAAATATGACGATGTAGAGTTGGAGCAGTTTGTTGATTCCATTGTGTATTTATGTGAATATTCGTAATATTATCATTAATATTTTTAATTTAGATGTCGTTTACTTAGAGAACCACATTTAACTTATATGGCGTTATTATTAGGTATTTTTTTTTGAAGTTACATAATCCACACTATAATAACTTCTTAATGGCTCGCTTTTGCAGCGCTGTTTGTGAAAGAACGTTTCCAAATACTGGTCATGATGTTTTTTCTTTAAGGCTGCGCACCCAACAGTGATTAACTAGCTCTTAAAACGCGAAAAAATTCCGTTTGTCCAGGAATTTTATACACTCGAGACGAACATTTTCGTCCATGATCACAGCATTAAATACAGAAAAAGAGTACAATCGCTATGTCGTTGAAAGCACACGCACTTCTTTTTAGTCAACACTTTCTGGATTTTTTTTGTGATTGATTTATTCACACATGTGCAACTCAAAGCCATGTCCGATAAGGCTGATAATAAAAAGAAACCTCGAGGAATTAGCTGCGAAAAGAAAAGCTCATACAGAGGAAGAAGCGGGAGGCTTACCAAGGTGTGAAGAAGATAATATTCTTTCTAAGCAAAAACGTGCGTGCGTAGATGCCATTTTCTGTATAATCCATCAATATCGAGTATTCATTTATAGCCGAGTTTTTAGTTATTCCATAATAATTTATATTACTGTATGTTAGTGCAGTCTGAATCTAATTTTGAAAAAGTTAATTAGATCGAAAAACAAAAAAGCACCATGCTTACACTTGAAGGAGTTCATTTTACCTCGTTTATAAACTCGTATGTGATTTGCTTTGAATTGTGTAATGATTTCAACACAACTGCCTGTTTTCTCCGTCTTTTAAATTTATTTTTCCCTGTTTTTCCCATCGTTTAAATTTATTCCTTACATGTTTCCACTGATACGGTGGTCCGTCCAACCAGGTTGCTTTATAAATCGAATCAACACCACCTTTTGCAAGATATTAAACATTGATAAATCTTTCAAAGGGATCCATTCAAATACTATCTTATTAATATTATTGCATTTTTTTAATAGACTGTCGATACCTTTATTTCCATTAGACCGTTCAACATAATTCGCCTGTGATAACGAAAACATCCCTCACAGTACTCATTTTTTTGACATTTGGTACATTTACTACAATCACGAGTATTGTGAACTGAACACTCATCGCAGTAACCCAATCGTTGACAAGCGTAACAATCTCTAAATAAGCCATACTTTTGAACTTGATTAAACTGTGAACTGATTTGATTATTGACCCTTTAACAGGCCATGTCAATTGATTTTGATATTTTTAATTTGGGCAGTCTCAATAAGACCCGACGTTTTATTTTATTTCAAAATTTTAATTTCTCTTGAAGGCAGTCTCAATAAGCCCTTCGGTTGTTATTATTAATTGAACCATTTTAAGTCTTAGTATTACTTTGGTCAGTTTACGTAAAGCTGCCGCAGGAGACCTCTAGAACCATAAAAAACCCTTTATTACGTAAATCATTCAGTCTAACTCCCAACTGACAATCACAACCTTTTTCTTTATTTCGTAATCTTTTATTTATAAGATGACAGCATGAAATGAAGAAGAGTAAAAACGTGATCGATTAATACACATTACCCACCCTCTATATGGATTCAACATCCTTACGGCCAAACTAACACATTAAATGTTGACTATGTTTCCTTCAGAGATAGCAATCTTGTTTAGAATAAATAAATACTGTTCTACAATTGTTTCTATGAAGCCAGGTCAGGGAGAATATTACCTATCTTTTTAGGGTTAGGAACGTTATGTTTTTGTAAGTCACTATATGTTACAAACCTATCAATCTGAATAATAAAACTCCATATTCACTGACATTTTTACTAAATCGAAAACTATTTGTTTTTCTTTTATTTGACATTGTAGTTGATATTGATATAGCTTTGTCAAAAAGTTGTATTCTATGTTCTATTGATACCGATCTTATCATTAATGAATATGCGCTTAATTTGTTCATTTACCTGGATTCTTATTCTAAAAGCAATAGTACAGTATTTTGACTTTTCAAATTCGCACTGTCTGATAATATATAAAATCTTGATATTTGAACATTACAAGAAAACATAAATAATAAATTTTTTACGCGTAACATTCTTTTTTTTCGAAATAATTTACATATAACTACCAAAAATCTTAAATTTCAATCTGGTTATCGTTAGCTTCGTTTTTATATTCGTTTAATCGTACAAGAAGTTTCTCCGCTTGTCTGTAAACCTGATCGTTTTTCGGCAAACTTGAATTAAAAATCTTATTCAAATGATTTTCACTCTTTTCCAAATTAATTAATTCACCATGTTCGCCTTCCATATAAATGTCAGCTAATATACAATCAGCCTCATATACATGTTCATGACGACTTGCCGATCTCAAATAGAAAATCGCTTTTTTCGGCTGATATGTATGTGTTTCAAGAAATTTTTTTGCTAAAAAAACCTGTGCTTTTAGAATGTATTCATTTAGATTAGTTTTCTCTGATTGTCGTTTTGCATCGGCTGCTTGTTGTAATAATGCAAGACCGCGTTCTTCGTCGCGGATGTTATCAATATCGCATAAATATTTTCCGGCAAAAAAAGCGCCACGAGGATCTCCTTTTTCGGCATATTTTTCGAAATAAGGTAATGCCTCTGCATACCTTTCCTCATTATGCATATTTAATAGTTCTTTAAAGCTCGGAAGTGTTGTTAATACTGAAGATGCAGGTTGCGAATTATCTGTGCTTCCAAAAAAAGAATCATCTGACGGTACAGGTGTAAGAGATCTTTGATAATGCGGCGTCGACGGAACAGTAAGACAATTCTTGATTTGTGAATTTCCTTCTACAAGTTGATAATTTATATACAAATCTTTGGCAATCACATCAATCTTCGGTCTTTGATCCCATTTATCGTTCCATGCATCTTTTATGAATTTCTCGAATGCTGGTGGAGTGTCGTCTGGGATTAATGGACGTGTCCCTGCAATTATCTCATCTTCTAACTTCAAATCTTCGATTTCTGAAAATGGACTTTTACCATTTGCAGCTATTTCCCAAAGAGTCATCCCGAAACTAGAAGTATGAATACAAAATTGATATTTAAATATATATGTATAATGGTAATGAATTATAGCACATTAATACCAGATATTGTCAAAAAATACCTATATACATCCATTTGTTTGTTAAAAGGTTGCGACTCGTATTTTATGTCATTTTTGAATTTCTCATTCGCATTTTTGTAAGATTTCATGTCAGATTTTCTCTTTACGACCTCTGAACGAATTTTTTCTGGAGCTTTCCATCTTAATTTATATTGAGATATAAATAATAAACACATGTATTGCTATCATAATTTAACAAAGACAAACTTACTCAAGACCATCTCTTATTCCAGGAATAGTAGTTGTAGCTTGGTGTGTTAATCTACTTGTATCAAAATTTGAGAGTTTTGCAGTCAGGTTTTCATTCAACAATACGTTTTCACTAAATAGAATATAGGTATTAAAATTATTAACATTGAGAATATTGAGACCAGAATCAACTGATTGACTTCTTACGCTCTGATATTATGATGGAGTACTTCTACGCCATGGCAAAAACTATTTATTCGAGACGAATAAAAATGATAATTAAAGAAAAAAAAACATACACGAATAAGAGATGAATAAGCAAAACAATATTTACTTTATTGCATTTGCGATTTCCGATGCGATTCTCCACTTGCTTTTCCAAGGAATGTTTGGCTCCTTTTGCAAATAATCACAAAGATTACCATTTTTAACCCATTCGGTGACCATATATAAACTATCAGAGTCAACGTAGATGCCATAGCTACGATTTACATAACACACACAATATTAATTAAAAAACATATATCAATATCATTATTACAAGAAATAACTTACAATTTTTCGATATTATTACAATCAGATAACAATTTTCGAATGACCATTTCATTTTCTACTTTAATTTTCTTTTTTTCATCAATCTTAGAATATTCATCTCCTAATTTTCTCACGGCAACTGGTTGACTACGAAGCATTTTCTTTACTAACGCTTTTCTCACGCCTCCGACAACCTCTTCCTCTAACGGATCATTGGTAATTAAACTGGGATCAATTCTTGTTTCCTTTACATCTGATGGACGAGCATCAAGTCCTTTAGCAATATTTGAGATTTCCATTTTAATTTCCGACACTTCGTTACGGATTTGTAAGCCCAATTCTAAATTGAATGCACTGATTGCTTGAGATAATTTATCCTCAAATTGTTCCAGTAATTGTTTATCCTGTTATATATAAAGTGATTCATCGTCTAAGTATTTATTTAATTAAACCAATGGAAATAAACATTAACAAATAAAATTTTACCTTGTCAGCGTTTATAAATCCTAACAATTCCTTAACATGTCGTTGACTAAACTTTCCAGGTTTTCCCAGTTGTTTGATATGATTTTCTATTTTTTTCAGGATATCAATATACTTCTTGTAAGCTTCTTGAAAGCTGTCATTTGGTGGTTTATAATTTTCTAACATTTCTTGGCTTGTCTGAACTCGCTCAACTAGTTCCTTGCAAGTTTCTCGATTATTTTGAAGTGTTTCTGCTTGTTTGACAATTGATTGGACGATTGATGCAGCAGCTTCTAGACCAGGAACTAATTTTGCGCCGGCAATTGTAATCTTTATGGCACCTTTGACAGCACCACGATATTGGGAAGACGATGACATTATCAACGTAATGATTTTTTGAGGTAAGATACTAGCAAATAACGAGAATTATTTTTTATCTTACGTATTTATACATTCACGATCAACTTTAGATTGCTATGGGAATTGAAATTCTATTTTTGGGTTGTACATGTATCAATACGTACTGTTACAGGAGCACACATTATACCCTCGAAAAATGTACATGTAATTTATATTACATGTAGTCCGAAAATTTTATGTTCTCCCCCCCCCATGAAATAAATAAGAAATCCCCAGGAGTGTCACTAGATGTTCATCACCTGACTACGTCATCATAATTGATACACGTAATTAACTAATTTAGATGTACGTATCGGTATACATGTACGTACATGTATCAAGTTTTCTTGATAAACAAACTTGACGATACGTTAACATTTTAATAATATTACTGCGAAGAAATGACGTCCACCCGTACACAATTGAAAAAGGGAAGATTCTGGCATATATGGAAACCATAATGCTGCCCAAATCGCAAAAATGCTTGGACGTGACCCCACAACAATACGGCGCTTCATTAAGAAGTATAAAAAAACAGGAAA